ACTAGCAAGAGTCTCGAGTCACCTGCACCTTTTCTTAGGGTAGTCTTGGACACCATTTATAGCCCGGGGACTGCTTTCAGGCACACAGACTGTAGGTACAGCTGTTTCCCATATGTCTGGCCAGGTTGCGGTTCTTTTGGAGCTGTTTCAGAAGCTAACCCGTGGGCATATGGAATCAGGACCATGTTTGCTAAAAATCTGATATGGCTTTTGCTATGCTTTGCTGTTACATGGATACAGACTCATCTAACCCTTTAGAGGGGTGTGTGGGTAACAGTAGTAGATGATAAAGAGATTCAGGGTCCCATGTTTTATTTCCTGGGAGGCCTTTGCAGTTCTCTCCTATGCAGTATTTCAAATAGTTCTTTACTGGACCTTTTGGTTTCCAGATAATAACCTCTTCAACAATATTGCCATTAAGAGCAATAAAATATTGGCCAGAACTTACCTCAGTTCTGAGCTTTCGATGCTCTGAATGGGATTTTAAGGAGAAGCTGTAAAAAGGGGAAAATGCATATATCCCTCAGGAGTATGTCTGCTTGTACTGTGCTCCTTATATTAATTACAAAATCTTAAGCTTTAAAAAAAAAAAAAGTAATATAAGCATATGGTAAAGCAAAATTTAAATGGCAGTAAAAAGATATAAAATGGGAAATAGTGGCTCCCTTCTCATCTCACATCCCAGCCTAAACCTCAGTTTCTGTCCACAAAGGTTAACAGTTTTATGACTACCTTTCTCTAAAAAGTGTTTTGGGGATGTGCCTGCATGTTTTATGTATATCCTTTTATGTAAAAGTATACACAAATGAGATCATACCAAACACACTGTTTTGCATTTTAGTTTCCTTCAAAAATTATCATGGAGTTCTTGCCATACCCACCCACAGACTTATCTCATTGTTTTTAGGACCCATTGCGTGGACATCCACTATAACAATTTACTTAAGCAATCCTCTACTGATGGATATTTAGGTTATTTTTAGTTTTTCTCCATTTAAAAAAATCTTCAGAAAATATCTTGTTACAAACACTTTTGCATATTTAGAGAAAGATATTACTCAAGTAGTTACCTAGAAGTACAATTCCTGGGACTAGTGTATAGGCACATAAAGTTTTACCAATATAACCGCTGCCCTCCAGTATGGCTTAATCAGTTTACATTCCCACCAGCGATATATGGGCACTTGCTTATTCATACACTTGTCAGTTCTAGCAGCATTAAATCTTTTAAAGCATTTGCCAGTCTGGTGGATCAAGAATATCCCTTTGTGGTTTTGATTTGCATTTCTTAAATTATATGTAAGGTAGAGCATCTCTGCATCTGCTTATGGAATATTAGTACTTGGTGTTCTGTGAATTGCGTGTTTATCATTCCTTGCCTATCTTTCTTTTGATCTCTTGCCTTTTTCTACTTTTGCATTCAGCAAATGGGAAGTTCCTACTAGGTAGTAAGCACTACCATGTGGTAAGTTCCTACTATGTGCTGGGCGCTAGAGCTCTAATGGTAAGGATACCACTGTCTTTGCCCTTTTGGAGCTTACAGTGTACTGGGAGACAGACATTCATCGAGTCACGCTCTGAATGGGTGTGTATCCACAGCGAGTTAAGTGCCTCGAGGGAAAAGCTCTTGCATCTCTTAGAGCAAGTGAGAGAGGAGACAGGCCTGTACCGGGGGTGGAAGAAGACTGCACCCAGGAGCGACAGCTAAAGAACAAACAGGAGAACGACAAGTAGCATATGATTTCACTTATATTGGAATCTAATGAACAAAATAAACAAAAAAAATAGAAACAGACTCACAGATACAGAGAACAGACTGACAGCTGTCAGAAGGGAGGGGGATTGGAGGGCTGGGTGGAAAATGTGAAGGGATTAAGCAAAAAACAAAAACAAAAAAGAACCTCATAGACACAGACAGCTGTACTGTGATCACCAGAAGGAAAGAGGAATGAGGGGAGGTAGGAGAGAGTAAAAGGGGGGTAAATGGTGATGGAAGGAGACTTGGCTTGGGGTTGTGAACACACAATACAATATACAGATGCTGTATTGCAGAACTGTACCCCTGAAACCTATATAATTTTATTAACCGGTGCCACCCCAGTAAATTCAATTTTTTTAAAAAAGAAAGGAAAAATAAGAATAAATAGGACTGGGAACTAGGGAAGCATATCTGGAAGAAGACACAGAATTTTGGAGGGAACATAATATGTCAGATGGGCTAAAAGAAGGCCAGAGGGTAGTTAAACAAGATGAGGCTGGACCACATCACTTAGGGCTCTGGCCCCATTAATGTTTGGGGGAGTTTCCCAGAGAAACAGAAAGCCATTAAAGGGTTTTGAACTATAGTTGTTGATCAAATCTGCTTTCTGAAAAAATGACTCTGGCTAAAATAGGAAGACCTTGAAGGTTTTTGAGTTAGTGCAGATAAGCTCTGAGAGTAGCTGGGCCCTTGACTATGGCAGTGGGCATGAAGAGAAGCAGATGGGTTTAAGAAATATGAGGAGGTCAAATAAAATTTGATGATGAATTGGATAGAGGTGATAAGGAAGGGAGGAAGTGTCCAGGATGATTCCTGGGTTTCTAATGAGATGCTGGTACCATTTACTGAAACAAGAAATACTGGAAGATTCAGGAATGAGTTCAGTCTTAGACAACACACCAGAGTGAAGCTGTCAAGTAGGCAACTAAATACAAAAGTCTGGGAGCAGAGGGAAGTCTGGATGGAAGTCACTGAATACAATAATTAAAGCCATGGACTTAGGTGCAATGGCCATGAAAGGAGTGCAGCACCTAAATCATGTCTACTCTGAATCCCTAAAGAATGCTAACATTTGATAGCCAAGTAGAAAAAGATGAGATAGAAAGAAAAAGCAGAGAAGCCTGAGAGAATTTGGAAAGCAAGCTGAGTGGTCCCAGAAACCAGTAAAAGATTGTTTCAAATAGGATGGAGTCATCAGTAGTGCCAAATGCTGCTGGAATGTCTAGTAAGAGGGGGCCTGAAAAGTGCCCATTGGATTTATCAACATTGCTGTCTTGGCGACATTAATATGAACTGCTTCAATGGAATAATGGGAGCAGCAGTCAAGCAGGAGATGGTTGAGGAATGAATGGGAAATGAGGAAATGGAAACACTGCATGGCCCACTCTCAAGAAGTGTAGTTTTTAATAGAAACAGCCCAAACCCATTCTTCCTCTGTGTCTACTCTTGACCCTTAAGCTGAATTAATTTTATAATTCAGATTCAGGGTTCCACAGCTGTGGTCTCTCAGTAGCCATGGCAACCAGCCAGCCAGGGGCAGAATATGTAGGGGAGACCACCTCGGAATTGGAGGCTCTTCCACCCCTTGGAGCTGAAAATGGGGTTAAGAAACAAAGAGTCCTTATCTTTTAGGGACACCTACTGAAAAACGTTAAGGGAAAATGGGGTCTGGAGTTTGCAAAGTGACATAAGATAAGTCATGAGTGGATCATTGTTGAAGCTGGGCAATGGGTACCTGAAGGTTTATTATAGTGTCCTCAATACTTGTGTTTATGTATAAATTTTTCCACAATATGTTGTAAAAAATTAAATTTAGGAACTCTGTAAAGTGAAAGTTCAAAGAACCAGTGACCAGCCCAGGACTCACTGTTTACGTGGCACTTAAACAGGATCCCCTGTAATCTGCCATTGGCTTGTAGGGCTTCAAGGTGCCACATGTCTAAGGGAAGAAAGTCTGCTCTCAAGTGCTGTCCTTTCTTCTCTCATTAACCCCAACTCCTGTTTCTTACCCCCCGTCCTTTCTTACCTCCCTCGTGAGTGTGGACTCCAAGTCACAGTTCCGTCACTTATCATCTCCATGAACTTGGACAAGGTCCCTCTGGTCCCTGAACCAAATCTCTGGGAGATCAGGTTACGCATCTGCTTAGCAATGTTGTGAGGATTAGTTTTTTTAAAATATATCTTTATTGATTTCAGAGAGAGGAAGGAGAGGGAGAGAGAGCGATAGAAACATCAATGATGAGAGAGTCATCATTGATCGGCTGCTTCCTGCACGTCCTCGACTGGGGATCGAGCCTGAAACCCAGGCATGTGCCCTGACTGGGAATCAAACCACGATCTTCTGGATCCTAGGTCTATGCTCAACTGCTGAGCCACGCCTGGCAGGGCAATGAAGATTGGTTTTGACAGTGTATGTGGAAGTATCTGTAACATAGCTCACAGCCTCAAAGGCCCACAGAACTCAGGGAGGTAATAGAAATGAATGAAGCTGACCTGGTAGGAGAAAATCTTGTGAAACAGCTTGGCCTATCTTTAGCTTGGCCACTTTTAGGAGACATTATATGCAGAAAAATTATATGAAAAATTCATTCTATAAGAAAAATTGCAATGCAAGCATGATCACAAAGGGAATAAATAATTCATATTCATTAATAAATGGGAAATAAACTGAGACTTAACCTCAGTGTTGAGGAGTATTAGGGAGTGGTGGGGATTAGGGCAAATGAGAGCATGCAGGCTCCATCAAAAAGGAGCAGTCTTCTATAGCTCCAACTGATAGCTGCCTCAACAGAATGGAGCCAATGTTAACATGTCTTCCTGTTTTACAAGATAAGCTACTACTCTAAATTTTTTATATGAAATCTCCCCAATTCTTAAATTTAACTTCAATTATATTTTTTAAAAAACAATATGAAAGCCAAATTAAGCCATCTGCAGGCCAAAACCAGCTGCTGAGCTGCCAATGTGCAACCTCTCACCTAGATAATGGGATATAATAATTTCCCCTCACCTAACCACTATCACCATTCATATCTATGGTGGAAGTGATGGAAGTGGGTTGAAGAAGTGATGAAGCCCAAAGGGGTGTGATCTAGAGACCTCATCCTGCCAGGGCCTAGATCAGTGCCTGGCACATAGTGGATCCTAATGAAAAACTTGATGAATCAATAAGTCAGTACCTGGGGGTGGGAAATCAGTTCAGTTTCTTGTGCTTACCTAAGAAACTCATTTTCCTTTACAGCCTTGCGAAGTCGCTCTGGCCGCTCTATCATCAACGGTAACTGGGCAATTGACCGGCCTGGAAAATACGAGGGCGGAGGAACGATGTTCACCTACAAGCGTCCGAATGAGATTTCGAGCACTGCCGGAGAGTCCTTTCTGGCCGAAGGGCCCACTAATGAGATCTTGGATGTCTATGTGAGTTTGGATGTTAATGGGCTACTCTCTGAATTTTGTATCTTATTGCTTCTAAGGACCACACTTGGAACAAATAAGCAACAAACCGTTGTCCATGCTCAGTAAGACCATCTGAGTGGAGTCTTTAGAGGTGCCCTTAAATCTCAGCCTTCATCCTCACCATCACCCTGAATGTGCCGAGCTCACAGAAACCCTAAACTCTACCAGATGCTTAGAACCCTCAGAGTTTATTGACCCAGTAAAACCAATTTTACTTGTTGAACCAAATCAGAGGCAAAACATATCCTTTATTTCATGAGCACTGGATCTCCTCCAGGCACTTTCCTCCTAATGCTAATTTGGCATGTTTTCTTTTTATGGCAAAAGAAAACAAATGCCTAAAGCAAGACAAGACCGCTCACAGTTCCCAGCCCTCTTCAAATTCTATTAAAGCAAATGAAGACAGGAGAACTCCAGAGTACTCCAGATGACCCAATAAAGCCCAGGGTAGCAATGCAGAGGTTTACTAGGCGTTCCCTGCTTCACAAGAGACAAAACTTTGACTTACTTAACAAGAAACTAAATTATTAAGCTACACAGAGTTAAAAATGGTCCTTATTTTAGAAAGAAACCACTAGAATCCAGTCTTCTTAAAAACATCAGGAAGTAAAAGGTAACAAGAAATAAAAGCTTAAAATCAGGTTTTATGATAGAGAATGAGCTCACTCATAGATATGCATTCTCTTACCACCTCCAAAGCCAGCACACGACGTGTGCTGTGTTAGAGTTTTATAAATATTACTTCTCCAACTATACAGTTACATGTTTGTTCCTCTTGGGCCTAGTGGTTCATGGACTAGAAACAATAAAGAAAGCCTTGTTATAGTTAATTTTGGATATTTTTTTACACTGTCCAGTGGGTTGTTGGACTCTGGGTAGGTTTAGAATGGCATCAGGGATAAAAAGCCAGATTGTGAAAGGCCCACTGTGGGTGGTCGAGGATGTGGTGGCCAACAATAATTTTATAAATGGGACAAGGTTTGTACTGGCCGAATGCTCACGCAGTTCCAGAGGCACTGAAGCGGGAGAGAGGGTTTCCGGCCTCAGAGCCATTGTCGAATTGTGTGAAAGGAGAAGTGAGGGGATGAGAGGTAGACAGTGGGAACCTGAGGTCAAAACAGTGTGTCCCTCGGGGCTCTGTATGCACCACCATGGTTTCTGTGTGTACAAAGTCCAGTGGTTCTCATGTCTGCCTTCCACTGGGTGATTTATAGAATGGAGGCTCCATTTCACAAGCAGGGAAGAGATAAGAGTTGATGGGATAAATGGACATAATAGACATACTCGGGAACCAAACTCAGAGATGCTTGTAGCTAAAAGGACTTAAATCAGCTGTGATTCTAACTTCCTTCTTCTCCAGATGAAGAAATAAAGAACTGAGATTAATGGACTTGTTCAAGGTCACACAGCTGATCAACAGGAGAGCCCCTCTATAAAGCAGTAGAGACAGAAATATCAAAATGTGGCAGTGGCTCCTTGCCTGGCTCATATTTACTCTGGAAATTCTCATTCTGCTGCTGCACAGAGCCCATCGCCCTGCTGCCCACCAGGAAAGCCTGGGGCCTTTGTGCTCCAGAGCCAATAAGAGGGGTTTATTCTGCGGGGCCATGCTGATCTGTTTTGTGCTTTTGCCCCAGACAAGTCTCGCTGCTGAATTCCATCGCCCTGCGCAGCTTCCTGCTGGCTGTTCTGCTTTTGTCATCAGTTCCTGAGAGAATAGGACCCGGGGAGAGTTACTTCCCTTATATCTGTTTTCCTGACCCCAGCTCTTTGTGGTTCTGGAGCTTTACTATGGATGAGAAGGGGTGTGACCCGAGTCAAAGAGGAAGAGCACTGGGGCAGGCCTTTCCTGAGCCAGCCGGACCCACGGGTAGAAAACGGAGAGAAGCGACAGGATCCCCAGGGGGCTCTGCTGTGCGCGACTCTCTCTCGCCACCTAGTGTTCAAATGGGTTCCCTGTAGTGTCAACATGTATCTATTTGGACGTTTTGAGAGCACTAAGCAAAATCTAAGCCATGGTATAGGATGGTTGGGAGCCCACAGAAAGATTCCACTACCACTGTTCCCATTTCCCTATTCAGAATTTATAAAATGTTGACTTTCAGCCCAGTCTTCTTTTAAGTTTTTTGTTCTTCTAAAGCAAATAGCAAAAAGCCATCTGGAAATAGCTTTCATTTAATCTGTCACACGTCCACTAATATTATGAGATGTGAATCAACCCCACTCATTTACAGATAGTGCCACTTATCCTACTGAACCCAAAGCCAGGGGGACAGGGATGCGTGTGCCACTGCAGTGACACTGACTTTTGTGTTGTCAGATGATACACCAGCAGCCTAACCCAGGAGTCCACTATGAGTACGTTATCATGGGGACCAATGCCATCAGCCCACAGGTGCCACCTCACAGGAGACCAGGTAAAATCCCTTGTTTTGCTGCCAGGCACTCAGGTCATTTCCTTTTAATTATTTATTATTATTGTTTTAATTGCAGTTCACATTCATTTCTTTTTTATTAAATTTCAAGTTACCATTACATGGTTTGGTACTCAATAAAGGAAAACTTGTTCAAATAAGGTAATATGTTATCATCAGTATTTCCATGTGATTGTTTACACTCAAGTAGCATTATCAGTAAATCCTTAGGACGCCTATCCCTAGGGTTTATACTTTGTGAAGGCTCAGTTCCTCTGGAGTGGAGATTCCCAGCTCATTTAAGTTAGTCTAAGTTCCTGGATGACACAAGGGTAGCTTTCTTTATGAGGACTTGTTTTGTCCTTAACAACCTCTAGGATTCAGACAGCACTAGCAAAGCCATTTAACTGTCTGCATGCCCGCAAAGCAGCATCAATGATTTTGGGTTCTGGAACAAGATCAGAGCCGACAAGCGTGTTCATCCCTTTACACAATTCCCACGCATCAATATCTGGCTTGTTGAAGTATGTCACCCAGCCAGCATCAAATTCCTCGTCTGTCTCATATGACCCTTGAAAGTAGCAGCAAACTGACTGGACAGCCACGGCAAGGCCTGGGCCAGGGCGGGTGCAGGAGGCCTCGAGGGTGGGCCCAGGCCAGTGGCTGCTGCTACGGAGAGAGTGGCACCCAGCATGACACCGATGGCACCATAGGCTGTGGCTGAAGAGTGGTACATTTCTTTTTAAAGCCCCTTCTCTCTTCTTCTTGGGCAGCTCCCCTCTGTCTCTAAATCAGCACAGAGAAAACCCAGGGACTCATACTTCAGAGTCAATGGCCCAGCTGTCATAGGAAGCTTCACCATTTGTCTGAGCCTTCACTGGGTCCAAAAAGAAGTGACCATCCTGGGTCTTTCTCTCCAGGTCCTCAACTTGAAATACCCTATACTGGTTTCCTATTGCTGCCCTGACAAATTGCCTCAGGCTCATTGGCTCAAAACAACACAGATTTACTCCTTTACTGTTCTAATACTCAGAAGGCCAACATGGGTGTCGTTGGCCATGCTTCCTTCAGAGACTATAGGAGGAAATCTGTTTCCTTGCCTTTTTTCCAGAGGCCACTTGCTTTCCTTGGTTCATGGCCCTTCCTCCGTCTTCAAGGCCAGCTGCGTAGCTCTTCACATCTCTCTCTGACTCTGACCCTCTGCTCCTGTCATCACATCTCTTCCTCCAACGCTCACCCTCCTGCCTCTTTCTTACAAGGACCGTTATTTGGGTCACTCAGACAATCCAGGATAATCTCTCCATCTCAAAATGTCAATCACATTTGCAAAGTCCCTTTTGCCATGTAAGGTGACATATTTCAAGCTCGGTCTGCCAGTGCCTTTTCTCTTGGTCCCCTTTTGCTTCTGTTAACACTACTTTCACCTATCAGAAAAAAATACTGAATTCACACCTAGCAACCTGCCTCTTCCCTGTGGGCTCTGCTGATGGGCAGAGTAGGCAGTTTTCGCTTGGGAATGGCACATACTCGGGCTCTGCAGATGTTTCTTTACCGAGTGATGATGGAGCTGACCACCCGAATGAAGACCATCTTTCCCATCTTTCAAATCGGAAGGTCTGCAGAAATATTAATGATGACAGTTGCTCGTATGCACTGAGTCCTTGCTGTGTGCTGGACACTGCTGATCCTTTCACATAGATTAGCTCACCAAACTTTCACCATAGCACTCAGAGGGAAGTACTATTATCGGCCTCATTTTAAAAGTAAGGAAATGGAAGCTTAGAGAGATTAGGTTCTTGCCTGGATCCCACGGTGACCTCAGGCCAGTGTGACTAGCCCTGTGCTTGTTATACTGCCTAGAGGCTATCTGATCCAATGCCTGTCCTATGGAGTGGGGGGACAGGTGGGAGACCTGGCCCATCCATCCTTTTCTGGGCTGTCAATCAGATAACTAGGTTACCTGATTGTCACAGGCAGGAGGAACCACCTGGCCGCCTGGAGATAACAGTCTGGTGTGTGTCGGACACATGGGGTACATGTGTTGTTCAAACTCCAAGTCAGCATACCCAGCCCAACAGAATTTTTAAGCTATTTCCAGGAGCCATACACAGTCCAAGAACCAAGTCCAGATATCAGACTATTGAGACACTGAGGTTGATGCTGATTTATAAGGGCAGTTGGACAGACTGAAGTCATGCAGGATGATGATGATGGTTGATAGCAAGTCTAATGGGTTTCACCTAGCAGGTAGTGTGGGGCTCTGGAACTGGTTGCCTGGGACAGGGCAGGCCCAGAGGGTTCAGTTGTAAAAGGTTGGTGAGGAGGGGCTTTCTCGACCAGGCTTCTTCCTCTATATCGACTGAGTCAGGAGGACAGAGCCTGAATCCAACTCTGCCACTTTTGTGCTGTGCATCCTCAGGCGAGTCGGTAACTTCTCTGAACACATTCCCTGTCTACAAAACAGAGAGGGGAAAACTACACTCAAAGGTTTGGTTTTGTTTGTTTGAGGGAGGGGATTGAGTAAATTAGGTGTCAATCCTAATGCCCAGTACATACAAAGTACTCAAAAGATTTTAAAATGTTTTTGGCTGATAACATCTCAAACAGTCTCATTTATATCAATATACCTGGTCTTGACTCTGTTGGTTTGATTTGCATGTAATATTTTAAGCCACAAAGTATTGTGAGTAGCCAAATAAATAAGAATGTGCTGGTGAAGAGGCAAAGGAAGCCTTGTGTTTTAACTGGATTTGACAGTAACTCTAGAATTTGCCTCCTTATTTTGTATTAAACCAGTGCTTGGATAGATGCTGCCAAATTGCTCACCAAAATTTGGGTCTTATTTGCAGACTGCCCCACAGTGAATGAGAATGTGTTTCCTGGCCCCTTCAGCGAGGGGGTTAGGGACTTAAGGGTTTCCAAGGTGCCTAACCTTTATTGTTAGGCAAATATGTGTTGCTGTTCTTGTTTCCACACACAGTTCTTTAATTATGAGTGAAGTCAAGCACTTTTGTATGACTTTTGGCTGCCTGTGTTTCTTCTTGTGCGAATCGCCTCTCCCTGGCCCTTGCCTGCTTTTCCTACTGGGATGTTTGCCTTTTTCTTATTCGTGTTTAATAATGTTTTAAACAGCAGGGATATTTGTGTCCGCTTATTTTAAATATATGTGCTCTAAATAAGAAATGATCTCATGCTGCCCGATTTTGAGTGTTGAAGCAGTTTCCTCTTTACGACTGACTGTCCACCCTGAACTTACTTCTGCGTGCACCGGCCTCTTGCAGGGGAGCCCTTCCGCAGCCAGCTGCTCCCGGAGGCCAGGAGCCAGGAGGGCGAGGAGGGGCCGCAGGAGAAGGAAGACTTGCGCGGTGGGGCACCGGACATATTCACTTCGGAACCAGCTCAGACCTTCCCCGTCAGGCGTCCAGATAGATTTTCTTCCCACCGGCCGGGCAATTTGGTGCCACCAGCACCACAGCCCCCACGACGAAGCCGAGATCACAACTGGAAGCAGCTCGGGACAACGGAATGCTCCACGACCTGTGGGAAAGGTGAGCTCGCGTGTGGGCTGGCAGGGCCTCCGCACACACCCGGGACAGGTGTGCAGGGGGCCCAGGGACATGGCAAAATCTCACCTCCGTGAGCCTGACCCTGCGATGGCTCCCCAAGACCACCCTCAAGCTCGACGATCCGCTAGAAGGGCTTATAAGACAGAAAAGCTGCTGTGCTCGTGGTTACAACTTATTACAGCGAAAAGACATAGAGTAGAACTGGCAAAGGGAGGCAGAAAGCTAGAGATAATTACACCCTGAGGCCAGAATCATTTTGGCAAGGACCGTCCATGACATGATAGAGGTAAGCAGGAGGAAACATAATTGACACAGGAAGCCCCAGAGCGAAAAGTAGTATTGCTCAACTATTCTGCCATTTAGGTCATGGTGTGATGCCTGTTGCAGGAGCCGGATACACTCAGAACCAGGTGGCAACAAGGGACAGTCACAGGAAGGATGAAAATGGCTAGCATGTGGTTTTATATCANCAGAGGTAAGCAAGAGGAAACATAATTGACACAGGAAACCCCAGAGCGAAAAGTAGTATTGCTCAACTATTCTGCCATTTAGGTCATGGTGTGATGCCTGTTGCAGGAGCCGGATACACTCAGAACCAGGTGGCAACAAGGGACAGTCACAGGAAGGATGAAAATGGCTAGCATGTGGTTTTATATCAGGGTGGCGTGTGTAGATTATCTTCCACTCCAGGTCTTTAAAGATAGCCTGGCCCGGCCCTTCCAGCAGGGTGAGACATGGCCCTGCCCGGAGGCCGTCGGGCATCACGCGGCGGACCTCCCGGGTGAGGACAGAGGCCCGTGCCCTTAGCCGCTCCCCCTCGCGCTGCTCACAGTCTGCGTTCGCCAGGCGACGCCCCTCACTCATCCAGGAGGTCACTCAGCGCGTCTCTGTCTATTCTGTACCCAAAGATTCCGGTTATCTTTCCCCCACGCCACCATTCCAGTCTGTGTGGTCCACACCGAAATAAAAATCTGCCTCCCCTACTGTTCTCTGGTATCCGGATGGCACACTCCTGCTTACACTTCACCATCTGGCTCAGATGCCACCTCCTCTGTGAAGCCCTCCCTGATTCTGCAAGGCAGAGGTGGGCACTTCTTCCCTGGGGCCCCACAGCCATTTGAGACACAGTTCTTTTTGTTCCAGCTCTGCTTGGCCTGCCTGTCTCCACGAGTGTACACTTTGCAACCTCTGCACCTGGTGTCATACCAAGCACACAGTAGGCACTCCTCAAGTGCTTCTTGAATGAATGGCTATATCATCACTACATTGCAAATATATATATCAGCTATCAGAAAAGATAGAAGGGGAGCATTTACACCTCATTACATCCTGGATATACAAGTCTGTTACTGCCTTTGCCCCTGTTCTATCAGTAACATGAAGAATGTGAATTTATGTATTCAAAACTGAAGGATCTTTTTCTCTAGATTTCCATATTCTTTTGATTAATATCCTGAGGTAGTCTTTCTCCAAAGTATTGTGGAGACACACACACACACTTCACCTCCGCCACTCTGTCCAGCTCTTTTCTCCACAACCCAAGTCCATTCCTCTTGTGATCTCCTCACTTGTCCCCACACTGACCCTCTCCCAAACTCTTCTCCAGACCTTCATAGTGGGACTAACCAGACGACACATTTCTATGTCTGTCACATTGAAATTTCCCTTCCTGTAAATGCTTTCAGCGTCACGATGTCATCATCGCCCGAGGGTCCCTGTCACAGGAATCCAGGTGTGGCCTGTACTCCGTCCAGGCATTGCTGGTGGATTCCTGGGGCTCCAAGATTGGAGTTATTTATTTCCTTCTTGCTCCTTATTTCGCTCGTCTCTCCATAATGCCTTCCTGACCTCTGGTCTCTATCGATGGTGCAGTTCCCTGCTCCAACATAACATACTTCTGTTTTGACCAATACACCCAACATATAACCCAACCAAACTGATCCCAGGTTCTTTCGCTGCCTGAAGCCGGGCCAGCGCCTGACCTCGCCACCCTATTCCCGCTTGCTAGCAGCTGGAGGAATGCTGAATGGCACGCTCGAACAGCGAAGGACGGCCAGGTTTCTCCCTTTCTGCAGAGATCAAAACTGACCCAAAGGAAGAAACCATTGTGGTCACTGGAGTCACAAATTATAGATCTAGTGTTTTCTCACCATCAGAGAGAGAGAGAGAGCCTCCAACTTTATTTCCTTGGCTAAACGTTGGAGAGGGACCTCGGACAAGTGTACTGTAAAGGCAGTGAGAGGGTGGGGGAAGGCAGGTAGAGAGAGGCCTTGTGCAGGACCTATCTTTGCAAGACACAGAGCATTCCTATGGTAACCTGTATCCTTTTAGCTAAATGTACTAAATTTCCTTCTCACTTGAANACAGCCCCAAGCAGGACCTATCTTTGCAAGACACAGAGCATTCCTATGGTAACCTGTATCCTTTTAGCTAAATGTACTAAATTTCCTTCTCACTTGAATGCCAAGTGGTTGGAGTAGTTACTGTTCTTTTCCAACCCACGAACTTGTAAGTGTAAAAGTTAAACCCATGTGGTCTGAAGGAAAGGGATAGGCTGAAAAATAAGACTTTTACTTAATCCCTTAATAGCTGGGTCCCAAATGGATACCCTGCAAGCAATGAACTGAATCTTACTCACCTTTTAACTGAGAACAATGTGCTTAATGTTTGTTGAATTTAATTAAAGGTCTCTTCTTAAATGGAAGCATATATGCTGCTGGACCAAACTTAATTCCACAAAAGTTTTTGCTTCCTATTAATTTTACAATCAGTACTGCTTTTTACTCAGCTAATAATTATGCTTAATTGGAATGTTATTTTAAATAATGGTCTCAAGTTATTGCTACATTAATTTTTACTGCCAGAGTACTATAAGCAAATGTGTGTTTCAGATTCAAAACTGTCTTACAAACTGTCCAATTTCTTACAAAAACTACCCTCTGGCTCAGTGTCACACAAGACCAGCTTAAAGAGGCATTGAATCACTGCTCGTGGCTGATGAAATATTAGACACATTAAAAGTTATTCCTCTAGTTACAATTAAAATTGCAGCAAGTTGGAAGTTCAGAAACTATGAATGCCTGGCCAATTAACAACAGAGCTAAGGCATAGCTGTAGAATAATGCCAGTGTTCTGCAGGGCAGGAATCGTTCAGTGGCCCAGAGTGGGGGAGAGGGGCAGCTCTTTGTGAGGAAGCACCTTACTCTTCCAGCAGTTGAGTTGCAGGTTCAGCTGGTCACATTTCTCACTTTGTCAACGTGTATTAGTGATATTTCAGAGCTGCCACCAGGGGGTAGCAAAGAGAGGAAGGCAGAATTGTGAATTGACTGGTTTTTTCAGTTATTTTGAGAGGTAGAAAATACCACTTAACAATTTTTTTTCCAAAATAGATTTATCCATTTTAAGCCAATGAAACTAGGTTGTGTGTTTGAAAAAAAAAAAAAAAAAAAAGATAAAAAAATCTGAGGCATTTAGTATGATTTTTTTAAGGCAAAGTAATAAAAATAAATGTTAGACCTCTAATCATATTCATTCAACAAGCTTTTATTGAGCACCTACTACTTTGCTGGGTACTAGGGATACAAAGATGCACAAGAACTAGTCCTGTCTGTAAGAAGCCCACTGTCTCATGAGTAGCAGACATTTACTCAACTAGCTAAAATACCACTGGATCAGGACTTTATTAGAGGAATACGTCAAATACTTTACACAGGGGAAGCCAGCTGCTCTTTTAGCCTTTCTTGAATCTTCTTATTTCTCTGCTCCAACCTAACTGTCTCTTAAACATATCTGATGCTTTCAGGACAGTTTGTCAGGTACTTTTGTTCCAGTTCAGTGACTTGGACAGTCCCCTCCCTTTAAGACCCAGGTGCAAACAAATTCCCAACCCAACCCTTTCTCTGGGATGGAGCTGGAACTCTCTCAGGCCCTGTTTGATGTCTCCAGAAAACCTTTAAGAAGTTATTGTTTGTGCTTATTTTATAATTTCTCCCCTACATAGTGATATGAAATTATGAAAATTGTTTTACATCTGCTTTTTAGCATTTCAAACTATGTTCACAAGTAGATTTTAAGCTCTTTGAGGGCAAGAATTATTCCTACTCTCCTTTGCATCCACAGTGCTGAGCAAAGTGCTCATGTGGGAGTGTTGTGTGAATTGTTCTGTTGCTGCGGCCTCTTCAGCAGCACCTGGATCTCCGTGCATCTCCACCATAGGCCAACATTCAGGTGTGCGGGACTGTCTTTCAGACATTCTCCTTGTCCTTCTAGGATCGCAGTATCCTATTTTTCGCTGTGTGCACAGAAACACTCATGAAGAGGTTCCTGAGAGCTACTGTGACTCCAGCATGAAGCCAACCCCTGAGGAGGAGCCCTGCAACATCTTCCCTTGCCCAGCCTTGTAAGACGGCCTCCCTGTCTCCATCCCTATTATCACGTCACTTCTGGTTACTCGTGCGTAAGACCTTAGTAACAAGTGTCATCTCATTTATGCATCAGCCTACAACTGATTTAGAAACATGAGACTTGATCTCTGCATAAATGCCGTTTAGCAAGAGCGCCTGTCTTTCAGGATCGACACAGGAGTTTGTAGCCTTTAGCGGTCAGCACACTCCCAAGGAGCCCACCATTTTGGAAATAGGAGCAATTAGGGTTTAGCCTGGTAAGGAAAACACAAAGGGAAGCAAAGAACTGCAATCCATCGTGGTCAGTGTCGTGGGAGAGAGGATAATGGAGGCAACACTACATCTGCCTGGCTGGCTATTGAATGATAAATAGGACACTTCCAGAAGAACATGAGGAAAGGGCCCTAAAAGTGGTCAAAACTTAATTCTCAGAGTAATAAAAATACAATTCTCATCCAAACACATGATGAGCATGTGCTGATATCTTAGTGAAGTGACAAAGCAGGGGGGCAGAGGAGATGTGAAACTGGTGTGTAAATAGTTCATGAAAAATAAAGAATGCTGGGTTAAGATTCTAAGTTAGTTCCAAAATGGGTTTAATGCTCTACAGGGTAATGAAACTAAGCTTTGGAGTTTGTGTGTGTGTTTTTTTTACTAGATAAAAATCATTTGTACCTTCTCAACTTTCTTAAATGGTATAGGCTCACTGGCAAATAGCATGTCGAACAAAGTTAATTTCTTTACAGAGTCAGGTGGCCCTTAGGCAGACTGGTAAGCAATGCTCTGGGAGACGGGGTCACCCGTGAGGATTCTGATGGTTCTCTGTAAGTCAGCTCAGCGCCTGCCCTCTTCCTGTTGACTGAAGTGACCTGTCCCTGTCGCCCTCTCCTTCCCGAGCCAGCTGGGACATCGGGGAATGGTCAGAGTGCAGCAAAACCTGCGGCCTGGGCATGCAGCATCGCCAGGTCCTGTGCCGCCAGGTGTACGCCAACCGCAGCCTGACCGTGCAGCCCTACCGCTGCCAGCACCTGGAGAAGCCCGAGACCACCAGCACCTGCCAGCTCAAGATCTGCAGCGAGTGGCAGATCCGGACGGACTGGACCTCGGTACGCAGGGGGGCGGCCTGCTCTGCAGCTCCCCGCCCGACACCCACCGCCACCCTCCTGCCTTGGAAGGACCTGAGTTCTCCGGAGGGGAACCTGTCCTGCCAGGCTCCAGGTGGCTGCTTTTGTAAACCGTAGCACATTCGGATAGCTGCATAGGGTTAAAGCCAGCGTGAGTCACCGCAGCTGGCTACCGGGAAGCCCGTGGGAGCCGTGTGCAAAGGGTCTCATCCCTCTCGTGTGAAAGTTGGCAAATTCTGGTCGAGCCAACTCCTCCCAATCTTCTCTCCCCTTTTATAGATGATAGAACTGAGGCTCAGATGACAAAGTAGGCAAGATATCAAAGAAGGTCTTAGAGAAAAGGGTTGTGAAATGTTCAGGGCTGGGATCCTCCCCAGGTAGCGTCGCATGCAGGGGACCTAGCAACACAGGGGAGTCTCACCAGTGCTCTGTTTAGGTGACAGGTAAGAAAAAGGAGGACACTGCCCATCCTGCTGACGGAAACTTGCTGTGTTTTAGTGCTCAGTGCCCTGTGGAGTGGGGCAGAGGACCCGGGACGTGAAGTGTGTGAGCAACATCGGGGACGTGGTTGATGACGAGGAATGCAACATGAAGCTCCGGCCGAATGACATTGAGAACTGTGACATGGGACCCTGTGCAAAGAGCTGGTTCCTCACCGAGTGGAGTGAGAGGGTGAGTGTGATGGCAGTAGAGTGGTTTTCTGGAGCTGTGGCCAAGGTGTGCTGGGCTAATGGGTGGGAGCCATGTGTCAGAAGGTGCCCCAAACCACACAAAGATGAATTATTAGCTAAAAATCCCAAGGGTCATTTCTGACTTTGGGGAAAAGGCCCAGAAATGAACTATTGCAGGCTTTCTATCCTTATATGAATCCCCATGGTGCTTCCAAAGTATTGCTTGCCTACAGATCGCCAGGCACCTTGTTATAAGACGTGGAATCTGTGTTGGGGGGGAGCGGCCCAGATTCTGCATTTCTAAGGGGTTCCCAGTGGTGCCAAGGCTGCTGGCCCAGGGATGGAGGAAACCAGCCACGTTCATGGCCTCTCAGGAGACATTCCCAAGTTCCCAAGGCCTCTCTCCCAGTGTCATGTGGACAACAGGCGGTGCAGTGTCTCAGCTCGGAGGAATAAATGGCTTGCCAGGGAGTTGGGGCCCATGCACCCTGTTGGTTGATTCTGGCCGGCCAGCGTCCTCTCTGACTGGTCAGTGCCCACCGTGGACCAGCTGCTGAGTATTCTGAACATCACCCTGGGTTTCCTTCGTAGCCTCCCTCTCATCACAATAATAATAATCCATGTCAGGGGCAGGTGTTGTGGAAGGAAGGAAGGAAGGAAGGAAGGAAGGAAGGAAGGAAGGAAGGAAGGAAGGAAGGAATAAATGCAGCCTTCATCCCACATTCAGAGATCTCCCCGGAGATTTCCATCAGGTGGTTTATCTCCTCGTGGTTTCCCCACACCGCATGGCAAGCAGCTCCTACCCCTTAGCCCCAAGACAGTCCCCAGAGAGAGCCTTTGACAAAAACACAGAACCCTTAGGCTCACTGTGCCTCCAGACCCAGAAGTGGACTGTAAGGGGCACCAAATTAGCCACCAGGAAGGTGCCAGCCAGAGGTGTCCATTGATGAGACCTCTGCCCCTAAAGTTGCATCTAGCAGAGATCACCCAGTTCTGTTTGCCCATCTGCCCTTCCCCCTCCCAGCAAGGACACAGCTCCTGGCCTTGCGGAGGCAGTGCTGGGAGGTGTGTCGGTGGTCACTTTGGGCAGCCTCCCTGGCAGCACAAGGAGTCCTCAACAGCAACCCTGACATAAGTCTGATTCCTTTGTCAGAAATTCCCTTTGTGTCAAGACAATGATGTCTGTTTCTTGTACAGCCCACAGTGTCAGGATGTTTCCTTTCACACTGAACCAAAGTTTTTCTTGCCAACTCCCACCGTGTCCTGTAGGAAATGCGTGCACCGCCCTTTCACTGCAGACCCACAGGTATTGGAGAGCCCCTTCTACTTCTTCTCCAGGTTAAAAATTCCTGGTTCCTTCAACTGATTTGGTATTTTTGGATTTCTAGCCAGAATTTGTTTGTACTCACAATAAATTTGCATAATTTAGTGTGTGAGCAAATAAATGAAAACAGTGATGCCGGGCTTTCCTTTCTATATTGGAAAGATACTTTTTAAAATACTTCATTTTTCTGCTCATACAGTAATATACACTATTATAAAGAAGAATATGAAAAGAATCTTGCCCTGGCCAGCCTAGCTCAGTGGTTAGAGAGTCAGCCCACGATCCAAAGGGTCCAGGGTTCAATTCCCGGTCAAGGGCATGTACCTGGGTTGCAGGTTTGATTCCCCACCCCCAGGTTGGAGCATATGCGTGGGTTTAAGGAAGGTGAATTGCCTTTCCCCAGGACTTATTTATTATAAGACCTTGAACAAGCTGCTGACTCTCTGGCTCTCAGTTTCCTCATCTGTAACATTGCTGAGTTAGCATTAAGAGAGTAACATTCAAAACCATGGTCTAGATGAGACTGGCACGCTGGGGGGCTTCCTGTGGGCTGCTTCCTTCTTCATGTCAACATGAAGCCTCCATCAAAACCCAAAATGATGGGGTTCAGAGAGCCTCCAGGTTAGTGAACACGTGGAGATGGGGGAAAGTGGTGAACCTGGAAGGGCAGGAAGTCGGCACCCCTTCCCAAATACCTTTCCCTTTGCATCTCTTTCATCTGGCTATTCCTGGGCTATATCTTTTTATAATAAACTGGTAGAATGTTTCTCTAAGTTCTGTGAGCTACTCTAGCAAAACAATGGAACTGAGAAGGGGAGTCTTAGGAACCTCATATTTATAGCCAGTTGGTCAGAAATACAGGTGAAAAACTGGACTTGGGATTGACTGCTGAAGTTGAGGATGGGGGCAGTCTTGTAGGATTGAGCCCTTAACCTGTGTAATCTGATGCTATCTCCAGGTAGAGTGTCAAAATTGAGTTGAATGGTAGGACACCCAGCTAGTGTCAGAGAATGGCTTGATGGTGTGGGGACTCCCCACACACACATTGAAATTGGCACAAGAATACCAAGAGTATCCTGTTGCCCAATTTAAAATTAATTGATCTCTGCCTAACTAAATTGAGGTTATAAACTCAATCTGAATCTTCCCTTAATCTTCTAGGGTTATATGTATAGTTTTTCTGACTTGATGACTCACCTTAAAAACACCCTTGCAGCTACTTTTAATTGAGGGTGGGCTTTACCAGAAACAGGTGTCATTTACTTTTTAGTTCTGCAAATCAATGACAGGTTTAAACATTTGTGCAATTTTTAATCACAAAAGGAAAAAACTTTTAGAAAGTCCACTAGCCTCAATTTTGTAGTACTAATTTCTAAGGATGTTTTCTTTTTTCAGTATGTCTTTATTGATTTCAGAGAGAGGAAGGGAGAGGGAGAGAGAGAGAGAAACATCAATGATGAGAGAGTCATTGGTTGGCTGCATCCTACATGCCCCATTCTGGGAATCAAGCTTGCAACCTGGGAATGTGCCCTGACTGGGAATCGAACCACGATCTTCTGGATCACGGGTCAATGCTCCACCCCTGAGCTATGCCGACTGGGCTCTAAGGATATTTTCCAAGAATAGAAATAAGTAAAGATACTGAGTTATTTAAATTATGAAAGATGATGCATAAAATTGAAGTTCAGGAATAGTCCGCCTGGGGCCATCTGGGCCAAGTTTAGCATTTAACTGTTACTGGAGTGAAAGGACAATCCTTACCAGAGGTTTGCTTAGGAATTTTATGCATCTCTGTGTTTTATCTGCCCAGAGGTTCATTTAGGAGTCAGGTTCTTTTCTGAAGTGGATTTGGCCCTTCATCTGGGCACATGCTTCAGGGACAGTGAATGAGTGTGTTTCAGTGTCTCACTTTGAAGGTTAGTCTCTGCTGCCTGGTAGTGACCCCTCATTCCCCTCATTTCTACTGATAGGCTTCCCGGTCAAGGTCCTGTGTGGGTAGGTCCTTTTAAATATAAATTTGTTGTGCTTTTCACTGCAGTCTCTGCAAGACTCATCCTTATGATGTTCTCTCACTGGGCACTGACTTGGTCCTTAACATTATTCTTTTAAATTAAGTCCAGGGGGATATAGGGAAACTTTCCCAAGATGCATGTACATTACTTGGCATGAAAAGCAGATTTCTAGTCACAATGCAGATAAAACAAAACTCATGAAAAGCATTTGTTAACCTGTAAAGGAGAAAAAATCTTTTCCTTTACTCTTATGATCTTTAATGGAGGACTGCAAATTAAGATGACAATAAACAAATTAACAGGAGAAAAGCATACAAATTTTATTTGATGTTAGGTTTTCTTTACACAGCATGAGGGTGGGGGAGCTTCATAGGAAAGAAATGAAAATCCCAAAGAAGCAATTAGACTTGAGGGATTATATACCATTTTAACAACGAGTGATAAATTGTGAAGTGACTAGACAAAAGAAAGGGGTTTGGACTTCTAGGGGCAGTAAAATTATAGGGAAGTAACTAAGAAATATATGGGAGAAACTAATGGAAGATAAGGGTTATTTTAGTAAAGTTTGTTTGTGCAAACTCGTCTTGATTCCCATCATCGATAAGAATGTTCTCTTCTTCCTGGAACTGGGAGTTCACCTTTCTCACGGGAAATGTATGCCTTGCTTTTAGGAGGAAAGGGTAGAGCAGAGAGCTCTTCCTGCATCTGCTGTTTCTTTCTTTTTTTTTTTTTAATATATCTTTTTTTAATTCAGAAAGAGGAAAGAAGAGGTAGAGAGAGACATGGAAACACCAATGATGAGAGAGTCATTGATCGGCTGCCTCCTGCATGCCCCCTACTGGGGATCAAGCCCGAAACCTGGGCATGTGCCCTGACCAGGAATCGAACCGAGATCTCCTGGATCTGAGGTCGATGCTCAACCGCTGAGCCACGCCCGGCCGGGCATCTGCTGTTTCTTAATTGCCGTGAGTTCAAAATAATCAGTATGCCAAAGTAGGATATTTGGGGGCATGTTCTAACCACCTTCAAGCTCTTTTCTCCAGAGAGTTCCCTCCCTGAGTCAGGCTCAGCTTAGCAGTGATCATGTAAGTGTTTCATTACTCATCATGGACTATGATTTTACAAGATTAGACAGCAAGTTACAAAAACAAAAGTGAAATTTTGATAAGGAAACAAGGTTGTTAGTATTTTTCTTTCTTTTCTCAAATTGTATTTAAAATTATATTGCTTTTATTTACTTTTAAACTAGTAATGTTGGTAGAAACCAAAAACTGACTCTGTTTTTAAAAAAAGACCCAGCAGAAACCCCTAGAAGGGCTTTGGTCATCATATAAAGGCACTTTCAGAACTGGAAGGTGCTGGTGAGAGGAGAGAAATGAGCAAGGGAGGGCCCGAGTCATATTTATTTATTCAGCCCATATTCAGGGATTTACCCATAGGCAAAGTGCTGACTGAGAATGAATTAAAGATGATACAAGCACCAAGCCTACTTCTATAATGGAAAAGAAAAAAAATAGACAGGACATAAATAACCATAATACAAAGGACAACGGCAGAATACAACTCTCATGAGAATTCTGGGAAGGGTGTATTGACCTGGGAAATCAAAGAAACTTTCACAGATGGGATGGAACTTGAGCTGAGCCTGAACAGATTTTGATGTGTCCCAGGAAAGGGTAAGAACACTCCAGGCAGAAGAAACAGCAGCGACAAGGCACTGGGAGCATTTCATGTGACCAGGGAACAGTGAGCCTTGGCTCTGTCCAGAATAGTCAGTGGTTTTCACACATTATATCAAAGTGTTCGACCCCTACGATTGTTTTAGAAGCTCACATGGTAGTCATGCGGAAACCCCTATCAAGAAAACCAGTGTGTCCCCAGTGTACACATATAGGCAGTTAGTCCAGAAGGATGGGGCTATATTTTAAGAAATCTGTCTTGCCATTTAGGGAAGCCCATAGTGAATGCTGCTAGGAATACCTGCACCAGAGGGGTTTCAGCGTGTATATCCCAGCACCCGGAAGCCCAGCGACTAGAAGAGCTGGTGAAGCTGAGCGAGAAGCTCCGGCCACAGTCCAGGGGAAGAATGGCAGGGTGCTGGGACCCACGGGCAGAAGGGACAGGATGGGTAAATGTGCTTAAGCTAGAATCTATGAGACCTGCTGGCTGCCGAGATGTGAGAAGCCAGGAGGCTGAAGAGCAGTCGGTTTTGAATCCAGATATGCATTTGAACACAAATTGGAAAATCCAAAGGAGGAATGGTGATGAAGGTGTCCCGTATCTCACCTGTTGGACATGAGGTATCTGTGGGACACCCACACGAAGATGTCCTGAAAATATAGGATGAGAAGGAAAATGAGGCAACATGTCAAAGTATTTTAAGGCAGACGGGAAATGCTCTTGAAGCTTCAGCGTGCGACTCGAGGGAGTGTTTACTGTGTCCTGGGTGAGGACAGACTGAGATTTTAGTTATGAAATCACTAACGGTTATGTGGCTTTAAGTGAAGGCTTAATCCTGTGAGCCTTGGTTTCTCTATCTTAGAGCCGGGATGTAGGCTTGGCCCTTTAAAGCCCCGCATACCATTACTGAGTACCTGCTGCATGCATTCATTGAGCACCTGCTCTCTACGTGTCATTCATTCCCTGTAACGCTGCCAGGAATGTGCTCCCATGCCAGCCGTCCAGGTAAACATGCCAGGAGTGAGAGGATGGGGGCCACTCGCCACAGGCCACACAGCTGGTAGTGATATTCACACCGATATGACTGGTTCCCAGGCCAGGCTCTCCCGTTACACCAGGTTGCCTTCTGGTACACCGTCACAGCTGTGCCCTTCAGGGACTGGATCCGTGTACCTTAATATTAGGCAACAATGTTGAGGTGACAGACATCAGTTTCCCTTCTTCCCCAGCCCAGACTCACTACCAGCACGTAGACGTGATGTTTTCATGCTCTCATTCTTCTGCTGGAGATATTTTTGAAATCCAAAGCCAGAACAGATAATCTGACAAGTGTATGCATATTAATCACAACGATGGGACAGGATATTGGGAACAACGACTGTCCCAGAAAAATCTAAGGCCGGAGGATATACCGATGTCCCATGACGGAGTAGGCCATGCATGAAAAGTGGTCAGAGATTTCTAGTGCAAAGAGTTGGTGTGGAAACACTGCGTTCGGTCCTCCTTTACATCATTTGAAGGTGGTTTCAGGACCTGCGGGGGAGAGGCCTCCTGTCTACTGTGCCCATCTTCTGTCTCACAGTGCTCAGCGGAGTGCGGGGCTGGAGTGCGGACGCGCTCGGTGGTGTGCATGACCAACCACGTCAGCAGCCTGCCTCTGGAGGGCTGTGGGAACAACCGGCCAGCAGAGGCCACCCCATGTGACAACGGGCCCTGCACGGGCAAGGTGGAGTGGTTTGCTGGGAGCTGGAGTCAGGTGAGTGACCAGAACTGGGCGTGTCTGCCTGTCCCTGGTAAGAGTCATCATAGCAGAGGGGTTAGGAACTGGACCTGGTGTATCTGGGTTAGAATCTCACCTGTGTTACTTGTGACCCTGAAGAAGTTGCTTATGCTCTTGGAGCCTCATTCAGTCAGCATTATTTATTGAGCACCTGTTATGTTCTCTTCTAAGCACTTGGGATACATCCATGAGCAAAACAAATATTTCTGCCCTCAGGGAAGCTCATGGTCTAGCAGGGTCTAGCATTTTATAAAATGCTGGTAGTGACAGCACTTTAGGGTTAGGGTTAAGGTTATTTTTAGAAGAAATGAAGCAATGTATATTAAGTATGTAGCACAGTGCCTGACATACAATAGACATACAATAAATCATAGCTACTGCTGCTATTATAGTTAATACTACCAGTTTTATCTGTATTTGAGTGTCAGAAGCAGAAATAGATATGACCTGGCAATCCTACCTCTGGATATATATCCAAAGAATGTGAAATCATTATCTCAAAGACATATCTGCATGCCTACATTCAAAGCAGCATTATTCACAGTAGCCAAGGTATGGAAACAACCTATGTGTCCATCGACAGATGAATGGATAAGAAAATATGCATAGGAATATTATTCAGCCTTTTTTTTAAAAAGGGGAGATCCTCCCTTTCACAACCATATGGATGAACCTGGAGGGTATCATGCTAAGTGAAATTAAGTCAGACAGAGAAAGACAAATACTGCAAGGTCTCAATTATATGTGGAATCTGAAAAAGCCAAACTCAAGAGAGTGGAATGGTGATTTCCAGGGGCTGGGGCGAAGGAAATGGGAAGGGGTTGGTAAAACTTTCAGTTATAAGATGAATGAGGTCTAAAGATCTAATGTATAGCGTGGTGACTATAGTTCATAACACTGTACTGTATAATGGAAATGCTAAAAGAGTAGAACTTAAGTGTTCACACCACCAGGAAAAAAAGGTAAGTACGTGTTAACCCAGTGCTGGGAATCCTTTTACAATGTGTACATATACCAAATCATCAATTTAAATATATTACAGTTTTGTCAATTATACCTCAATAAAGCTGGAGAAATAAAGAAGCAGGAACAGAAAAAAATTGAGGTTGTTTATTATAAAGAACAGAATACTGACTACTTTAATAAAGTGACTCACTTGATCAATTAATTTTTTCCTCACTGTTCCAAAATTGAACACGAACTCCCTTGGAAAATGTGGAAAAGATCATTCCCTCTTAGTTTTTTTGTTATGATTACCATCAGTATTTTGAGTTCTTGGGCCACTTAGCATTTGGCTCCCAAGGCTGGCAAGGACTTTTTTGGCTGATGATCATGATTTACACATTATCAGGATATCTGGCTCCATATAGAATTTTAAGTAACTTTAAACACAGACCCTAAAAAAAATTTAAAAAAAGGACTGCCTTGTCCTTGTAAGTTGATACAACCCCTTTGGAAAGCAATTTGGCAGTAAAAGTCAAAAAGCATAAAAATGTTCATTTGCCTTAACCCAGTCACCCCACTCCTGGGGATTCATTTTAAGGACATAATTAAGAGAAGAAAAAAGCTTTTTAACAGAGATGTTCATGACAGCAGGGCAGTGAGGGATATTATGGAATATCATAACTCATTAAAATACCATGTAGCAACAACGGTAATTAGGAAGATGTGGAAAGTGTGTTGATGCAGTGGCAAGTGAAAAACAATAGAAAAATCTTTGAATTCTATTATCTGAACCACTTCAAAGTATAGTCATTTTTTAAAAAAATGTTTTTATTGATTTTTAGAAAGGGAGGAAGGAAGAGGGATAGAGAGATAGAAACATCGAAGAGAGAAAAACATCATCCATCAGCTTTCTCCTGATACCCCCTACTGGAGTTGGAGCCCGAAACCCAGGCATGTGCCCTGACCGGGAATTGAACCGTGACTGCTCAATTCCTGGGTCAGAGCTCAACCACCAAGCCACACCCAGCCGGGCTAAAGTATAGTCTTTTTATGTAAACAACATGGGGAAATGCTTTTTCTCAAATTTCCTTTAATGTTTTAGAATACAAACTGTAAAATATAGAAAGTTAAGAAAGAAAAGTCCAATATGGCCAATGCTACCCTGGTAGATATGAGTTAGACATACTTAGTAACTGATCCCAGCTCTACTTCTCCTTAGTTCTCTGACATGGGTCAACTAATTTAACCTCTGTGAGCCTGTTTCCTCATCCAAATGTGAAGATAATAATACCAACTTTCTAGGGTTGTTACTGGGTTTTCATGAGATACTATACATGCAGGGGTTGCCCATTGCTTGGGACATGGGAAGTACTTAATAAATATTAGTTCCCTTTTTTCCATGTTTAATAATTTTTTTCTGACAGCTGTTTCTATCTCTTCATTGTTAATAAAACACCTAAAACCTAAACCCCAAAAATAATTCAAAAGTGGAATGTACCTATAGGATGCTAATTATCCACAGAAACTGAGGCAATAGGAAGAGTTCTATGTCAAATTGCAATATCGGATCATAAGTCTACATGCACAGTGAAGATAAGGGGTGCAATTCAACTGGCATGCCTACCAATCTCTGAAGAGGAGAGGAGAGCAGGATTCAGGGTCTTTGTTGCTTGTGGGCCTCCTGTTGGCTCTAGACCTAAGCTCAGAGAACAGAGTGGTGTGAATCCAGGTGAAAGCAGCCTTTATTTCTGCTAAGATTAGAAACATAAAAGTTATTGCCCTGTTGTCCAAAAGGGTCAGAACGTGATTGATATTATCCCCAAAGAAAATGAAATAGATAATGCTTATTTATTGAAAGGTAAGTCTTAAACATTAATTGACTTCAGAATATAAAAATAAGTGTTCCTTTCTGCTACACTGTTTGAATGAGAGTTGTCATTTGAACACCCCACCAGCCTGGTCTCAGTGACTAGTCCAGGATGGACATGTGACCGAAGCCAAGTCAAAGAAAGTCCTTCCCTGGGACTTTTATGGACTTAAAGGAAGAGAATCCCTAGGAAGTTGTGAGCATAGGTGCCAGCAGTGGCTGTGCTGAAGTTTGTGGAGAAATCCAGCCCAAGAGAAGGAGACCTGTAGAATTTAGGAAATCTTATCCACTCCGGAGGCAAAGTAGCCCAACTCTTGATATTCCACCAAGTCTATTATTCATGCCCAGATGTTTTCTTTCTTCCTTGTCAATTCTGGGTTTACTTCACCCTTAGATTGTCTTAGCCCTGAGAGGTCTTTCACAACCTCTGGTGATTCGGAGCGGCCCTCTTGTCTGCCTGTGTGGCTGAATCATATTTATTCTCTCTGGCATCTGAGCAGACAGCTCCACTCTCGCCTGGTGTTAGAACAGTGATCCACCAAAGTGCAGCTGCAGGGATTCTTTAAGTGTAGAAACATGCAGAATTGCTATCACCTCTCAGTGGAAGCATTTATCCCTATTAAATAACACCTTTTGTATTCTATGCTTTTCTCCATGAATTACATTTTATCTGATATTTGTATTACTCTATCTTATTGTTGATTTTCACCTGGTATGCTTTTGTCAACTTCTTACGTATTTTTTAAGATATGTCTTTTGTATGCAGTACTACTTTTGTCTTTATTTTCACCCAATCTGCAAATGTCTATTTTTTAAGAGTTAAATTTTAAACATTCTCATTTATTGTAATCATTTATGTGTTTGGACTTTCCCCTGCCATCTTATTTTGTGTTTTCTATTTCATTTTCTGTTGCCGTGCTTTTTTCGGTGTTTTTTCCCCCTTTCCTTTCCACACATTTGTATTGGTCAAACTTCCTTAATTTCATTGTTTTTCTCTAAAATTTTGGAAGTTATAAGTCCTATTTTTATTCATCTAGTGATAGCAAAAGAAAAAAGATTTAACACAAAGTTTTAAACTTTTATGTTTCTATCAGTCATCAGTAACCACATTCTCTCAGTCTATAATACCTCCAAAAAGATGTTGAGATCATCTGGATTTAGCTCCATATTAATGCTGATTAACTTTATAAAAAATACTAATTTAGATTTTAAAATAGCCTCCTTCCCTTCCAAGGTTATTTTTATTGAAAAATAATTCATTCATCATAAAATGCACCCTCTTAAAGCGCACCACTCAGTGGGGTTTTTTGTATATCCACGAGGTTGTGCAACCATCTCTACTACCTAATTCCAGGACATTTTCATCCCCCCCAAAAACCACAGCCATTATTAACGATAGCTTTTACTGGTGACTTTGCCAACTTCTGATTTTGTATCCTGTGTCTTCTTCCTGGTTCTTTTAAATTTTGTTAGAGACCATAACCCAGTAAGTCTTTCTAATAGGATTCATAAGCCATAAGTTGTCTGAGTCTTTGAATATCTGAAAATGTCTTCACTTTGCCCTTTGACTTGAACGTTCCCAGTAGGGGCAGATGCCTTCATTTTTTCCTTGGCAGTTTCCTGTTCACTATCTTAACTGACCACTGTCTCATTGTCCCAAGGCCTCCCTCCCTCCTGCTCCTCACAGCCACATGTCCAGCACCATTCTTGCCCAAAATACCTGAGCTGCTTCCTCTTGGTTAGGGGTCCCTCCTCTATGTGCACTTTCGACTACGATGTTCTCCTTCAATTTAGTCTCATCTGTCTTTCGCCATTCAAAGACTGCCCATAGTTTCTGGCCCACCAAGGATGAGTGCCCTTTCGGGTTTCAAATACTGTCTCATGCACACACATATGTCCCTACACACATCCATTCATTTGTTCCCACAGACACATATTCTGCTGTTTCTGGGCACTTAAGGTAGGAGAAGGCTCAGATATGTGCTCACTCTCCCTTCATTACATAATGTCTTCAAGGGCTTAACAAACATAGCATAAAATTTGAGGTTTTAGTTAAGATTTACAGTCTGCTGTTCTGCCAAGCACTGGGCTGTGCCTAGCCCCTAAGAGCAGTCATGGGTCTTTCAGATCAGGTTTAGAAACCCCTCCAGTTTGCTGGTGAGACAGTGAAACCTGGGAAAGTGCTGTCTTGGCCAAAACACAAAACTATTTACTGATGATGTCTAGACTAGTTTCCATGTCTCCTGACTTCAGTCCAGTGTTCTGCTCCTGCCGCCCCTGGACCTTATATCCTCACTCCTCCTTTGCCTGGCAGCCTATTTCTCCTCTCCCACCTCCGATTCTTTCATTGTCTGCAGCACCTGAAAGAAAAGGAAAAAACATAAATATACTGACTATGTGCCAAATCAGTAATGAACTAACATGTTATGATGAGTGTTGTTACACACAGATGAGAAAGATCACATCCGGGGAAATCCGTTTGTTCAGTGTGTCATTAATACACACTGTACACACCAAATAGGATACAATCTACCAGTGACGCTGGGGTTGGATTTAACCTCCAGCACAAGTAGATTAACTAACTCCCTAACTAACTAACATGGAAGAAAGTAGGAAAACGAGCTAAGGAGGTTCTCTAGATGACTATAAAGATGCAGAAAAGAAGGCACCAAGTGGAATTGCCAGTGGTGCTGCTTATTGTGCCCTTTGTGGCCAATCCATAGGCTGTTGGCTTGGGTTTTTCTTTTTTCTTGTAGAGAAACAGGGTCTCCCCCTTGTTATTATTTAACCCTGTGTCTGCCTACAGAAGCAAGGCTAATGTTAAGAAGTTCAGCTATAGACATTGTTAAAAGCTTTTCATAAAGGTAGTGGATTCTTTAAAGTCTCTGAAGGCCTATAAAACACAGCTTTTAAATTTTTTGATCAAATATTGAGTAAACCAAATGTGAGGAAAAAACATTTTACAAAGTAATAGAGTTATGCATAGTTATATGCATATTATTTCCATAAACTAACAAAATGCACCAATGAGTGTAATTGCCTGGCCTCTGTGCTCAGACCCCAGCAAATTTTGGCACCAAGTTAAGAAGCGAGAGGATTGAACTCCATGGTGAAAGGCTTCCTGCTGGCCACTCTGTTAGGAGGGGAGGGTTGACCATATTGTCCTAAGTCTAGAATCTTCTGTTCAGCTTTGTAGATCCCCAAAAGTTTTAACTTAGTCCTTCATGCACAGGTGTGGAGGCTCTGAGAGACTAATTCATTCCCAGTGTCCACCCACTAAGGGACCAGCAGAAAACCAAAATGTTAGTTCATTGTTTTTCAGACGGGGCTGTCAGAGTCTACTGGACAGAAACAAGCAGGCTGATTGGCTGGGGTGTTCCTGTGGGGGAGTCTACGGGGAACCATTTCAGTCTCAGCACAGGGGGCACCGGGACCTCAGCGACCAGCTGCCTGAAGCTTTGATGACTCAGGGTACCCACTCTCCATTCCAGACGCAGAACTGTTAGGAAAATTGGATTCGTGGGCAACTTCTCTTCCAAAAACACTTCCCGGTGCCCTTGGGCTCTTCCTCACTGAATTGATGATAGGAAGTACCTGTAGACATACCTTGATGGATAGTCGTTCTCGTCTCCTTCCCATGATGTGATACCACTTTTCTCCGCTGCTTTCTTCAGTGCTCCATAGAGTGTGGCAGTGGCACCCAGCAGAGGGAGGTGATTTGCGTTAGGAAGAATGCAGACACCTTTGAAGTGCTGGACCCCTACGAATGCTCCTTCCTGGAGAGACCCCCCAGCCAGCAATCCTGCCACCTGAAGCCTTGCGGGGCCAAATGGTTTAACACAGAGTGGAGCATGGTAAGTCAGGGTGCTCTTGGTAAGTCAGGGTGCTCTTGGTAAGTCAGGGTGCTCTTGGTCGAGACTGCATCAGTAAGTACATCGTTCTCCTGCTTTCCTCCCACGCATGCACCCGGGTGCCAGCCACTGGGCTCAGCCCTCAAGTAGATTCTCTTCAGTGATCTATCTAGTTGGTCACTGTGGGGCACCCTGGATGCAGTCTGCTTGGTTGGTGGAACCTGAGGCTGGGACGATCTTGATCTGAACTGTGGAGCCATAAAGCAGTGACTCTTAAGTGTCAGTATGCATAAGAATCAGCTGGGATCTTGTTAGAAAAAATGAATTCTGGACCTGCCAAGGAGTTTGCATTTTGAACAAGCTCCTTAGGAGAGTTGGGTGCAGGTGTCCTTGGATCAAATTTTAAGGAGTGCTACTGCAGAGGATTGGTGGCTGAAGGAATTCAAGGATGCTACTGAGAAACTGCATCATGAAGGAATTTCAGTGGGTCTCAGTAACAGGGTGAGGCCCACACCAGTCAGGCCTCAGTATGTGTGTGTGTGTACACTTGTTTAAAATCCGATACACAATATGGACTATGGATTATGGGACTGGTCCTGTTTTTCTGTTTGAATTGGCTGTTAGAAAACTCAGAGCTAAAATTATGGTCCATCTCTAACAGAGAGTTTATCAGACCTTACAAAATGGATTCTTCCTACTTTTATATTTCTTTTAACCCCAATTTCCACACTTTTTTTTTACATCTTGTAGCCCTCAAAGCATTTCCTAAGCCACCCCAAATCTTTTTTGTAAGGAAGAGAGTAGTGTGTGAATGATGAGAGGCAGAGAGGGTCTGAGACAGAGAGACGGAGTTAATACACAAATAGGTTATTAGGAATGAAGTAGGAAAGGATGGAAATAGTGATAAAACCCTCCCCCCCCCCAAGTAAAGGAGTTTACTTTCAAGAAACATCCTAAAACAGAAAACATCCTCAGGGCATCATTCCCAGGACCATTTAACAGGCCTTGGACCCACGGGGTGGGGTTTGTTCTGTTTTGTGTCCCAGAAGGTCTTCCAGTATGGCTCTGGGAGAGCCCAGAGTAGGGGCCAGAGCCTTTCTCAAAATCATTTAAAGGTGATAAAAAGGATTTTTCTTATAAAATATATGAATAAAAACTGAGAATTCTGTTTCTAAACAGTGTATGTCAGTTCCAGTGAGAACAGCCATTTGGGCATGTGGTGAACCACAGGTCAGAGGCAAAGGGGAGCAAAGGTGGTGCTGAGTTTCAGAGGTTTTTTGTCAACTTCTGGGAAATGGAATTATTTTGATGTTGGCCAAGTTCCTTGAGAACACACAGGAACAGATCTCTATTTTCTTTTACCGTTTGGTTTGGAGAGTGTAGAAAGGGCCAAATTCACTAGACCTATCAAAGAAGACAAACCATGAAAACACCTGGCTGGAAACAACCCAGATGTCCCTCAACAAGTCGGTGTGGTATCTCTGAACGACAGAATACTACTCAGCAATGAAAATGAGTGAACTGTTGGTACCCAAGCACCATGGATGAACCTCAAATGCATTTTGCTAAATGACCCCCCAAAGCTACAAATTGTACAATTCCATTTATATAATATTCTGTAAAAGGTAAAACTGTAGGGGCAGATGCCAGGTCAGGCCAGGTCAATGATTGCCAGAGGATGGGGTGGACTGTATCTCACTGCAAAAAGACAGTACCAGGGGATTTGTTGTGTGTGATGAAACTTTGACGTAAATGATAATAACAAAGACTGTGATGGAACCCAGCTGTCTTCGAATATGCCTTGTTTTGTAACTTTGAGTTTAAAACTGAGTCAACATTTTATATAATTATAAAATAAAATTTTAAATATTGTAAACAATCTTTAAAAATGAAAAATGAAACAAATTAACCTAAGTATATATTCAGTTAGTGGCCTTAGCACTATTGCATGTGGCTTAAAACACAGCATTTGACTATCCATCCCTAAGGACAGAAGAACTGCAGAAAAGTGTCTACATTGCTTGCAGTAATCACATTTTCAGTGATAGTGTTGTACTGTATTCTGAGATGGTTGGGTGTAATGTGTGATAAAGTAAGTGAGTGATATACTTTATGGTAATATGATGATACATGTGTATGATAATATGATAGTATAACTGTTTTATCCCCAGTATCCTTGAGAAATAGAGCTCTCAACCTTGAAGAAAAAAGACACAGATAAAAAAGATAGAAGGGGTTTAAGTGAAAATCCTATTGTCCTGAATTTGAATTAGAAATATTAGTATGGCCCGGCCGGGCGTGGCTCAGCAGTTGAGCATCAGCCTAGGATACAGGAAATCGGGGTTCGATTCTGGTCAGAGCACAAGCCCAGGTTGCAGGAGGCAGCCGATTAATGACAACTCTCTCATCACTGATGTTTCTATCTCTCTCTCTCCCTTTCCCTTCCTCTCTCTGAAACCAATAAAGTTATATTTAAAATAAAAAGAAAGATTAGTATGAACACATAAATTAATTTATCTTACTTTCCTAGTTTTATCCACTGAAAGAGCCCAGAAACAATTATAGCGCAGAAACCAAGGGCACACCTATCAGCCAGAATGTAGTTTCAAAATACCACTCTCCTCTAAAGGAACTGGGAATTCTCAGATAAATGGACAATTTGAGATCTGGGACTATATAAGTATAAATTAAATTGGAATATCTTTTAATAACAGGCAGCAAGGAAGTGCTCAAAGACAATTGAGTTTATGACCAGAGGACTCAAGAACCAACTTTTAGAGGCTCCTGCTAGCCATTGATGGGACATCAGTGAACATCAGGAAAAAGAATAATTACCATAGAGTGAATGAAATACATCACATATGTTACCTTCATCCATTTATAGTTTATAATAATAATAATAAACTAATAGGTCACCATTAGAGGATGTTAGGGGAACCAACTCATTATTCTGAAAACTGATAGATAAAAAAAAAAGAATCAATAATTTACTAACAAACAAGCTGTACCACTGGGTAACGGAAGAGTAATGGCCAGGGCATGGTTGGGGGAGGGGAGGAGTCTTTAGCAAAAATTCCAGATAATATAAAAAAAGATGATAGAATATAATCACCATTTTCAACTCTGGATGAATTAGAAGACCTGGGCTTTGCTCAGGAGTGGCTGCTGACATCCCCAAAAGATAGACAATCATACACATCCTATGCAGTAGTCTCACCACAAAAAGTCAAACCTGCCTGTTAAGACCTCTTCTAGATCCAACTTCCAATTTACAAGAAATACAGAAGACAGAGAAGCATGTTAAACTGTCCCTTAAGGATGCTGTCAGCAAAATCCTAACCATGGGGAACTCTGTGGGACAAATGACTCAGTGCAAGGGGAGAAAGCTCAGAAGAGGGGAACCTATGGATTAAAGGGCACAAAAGTCATATCAGCCAACTGCAGTGGGCAGACCTGATGTGGATCCTGATTTTTTTTAAACTATATTAAAAAGCCTATGAAATTCACAAGACAAGTGAAAATAGGAACATTGGCTTTCTATGGGGTAGGCAAAAGTCAGTTTACAGTTGTGAGTATGCAAAAGAGTTTATCTTTGTATTATTATTTATTAATTATTGTATTATTTTCCATACAAACAACTGTAAACCTACTTTTCCCCACCCCTGTATGTAAAAACAATAAGGAACTGCCCTGGCCGGTGTTGCTCAGTGGTTAGAGTGTCAGCCCATGAACCAAAGGGTCTCAGATTCGATTCCCAGTCGAGGGCACGTACCTGGTTACAGGTTCAATCCACAGCCCTGGTCCGGAGCGTGCAGGAGGCAACCAATCAATGTGTCTCTCTGACACTGATGTTTCTCTCTATCTCTCCCTCCCTTTCACCCTCTCTAAAAAAATCAATGGAAAAATATCCTTGGGTGAGGATTAACAAAATTAATAAAATAATAAAATAAAATAAAATAATAAAATAAAATAAAATAAAATAAAATAATAATAAAATAAATAAAATAAAATAATAAAATAAATAAAATAAAAAAAATAAAATAAAAACAATAAGGAACTATGTATTGTTAATTTCTAGGCATTGTGGTAATTTTTTGTTGTTATTAATCCTCACCTGAGGATATTTTTTCCATTGTTTGTTTTTTTTTTGTTTTTTTTTTTAGAAAATGTGGAAGGGAGGGAAGGAAAGGGAGAGAGAGACACAGATCCTATGGTTGCCTTCCACACATGCTGGGTCCAGGGCTGGGGATCAACCCTGAAACCCAGGTACGTGCCCTTGACTAGAATCAAGCCCAACACCCTTTGGTATGAGGGCCGACGCTCTAGCCACTGAGCCACGGCGGCCAGGGCAGTATTGTGGTAATTTTTATGTAGTCCATGTATTTTAGAGTTACAAACTGAAATATTACAGAAGATACGATGTTTAGATTTGCTTCAAAATAACCTGAGGAGTGGATGTGGATGGGGTGTAGCTGGGACCTGACTTGGACGAGCTGATGGATGTTGAAACCGGTTGACCACTGTGTAAGAGTTTGTTGGAATATTCTGTCTCCTTTTGGAGATGTCTGAAATTATCTATTACCTGCCTTCTGCAGTGTGCTGAGCTAATAGACTGCCAAGAAATCTAACCTTCTCCCTTTGTGCCCATGCAGTGCTCCAAGAGCTGCCAGGGTGGCTTCCGGGTCCGCGAAGTTCGCTGTCTGTCAGATGATATGACCCTAAGTAACCTCTGTGACCCTCAGCTGAAACCAGAAGAGAAAGAATCGTGTAACCCTCAAGACTGTGTCCCTGAAGTCGGTAAGTAGGGATCCCTATCCTGGAGTAAAGATCCATGTTTGTTAAGCTCTGTGTGAAATGCCACACCCATTTGGTCTCTCTGTGACCTTGTGCACAGTCATGGCGTTCAGGATAAGTACTTTTGGTATGATAAGTTTATAGCACAGATGGCGATCCAAGCCACCTGCCAAAAGATAAGCTTAGATATGAATTCAATAAATTAGTAATGGATTCAGAGACTTGGTTCCACCATCCTTAAGGTCGGAGTAGTGAGATTTCAACATCATGTTGGAAGAAAAAGAAAGATGCAGGCTCTTAGCGCACATTCACACTTGGTTGGTAACAGGCAGTAGGCGTCTCACCCCCTTTCTCTTCCCAGCAGTCCAGGCTGCCCCTTGTGCTCAGACTGTCTTGTTTCTCTTCTGCTACAGATGAAAGCTGCAAGGACAGGTACTACAACTGCAACGTGGTGGTGCAGGCCCGCCTCTGCGTCTACAACTACTACAAGACTGCCTGCTGTGCCTCCTGCACCCGTGTGGCCAACAGGCACCCGGGCTTCCTGGGGAACAGATAACACCCCTGCACTCACCCACAGGGCAGAGCAGCAGCGGTCTGTAAGCAGGGTGACTGGCTGGCTGCTGTTCCACCCAGGCTTCCTGGCCTAGGGTGCTGCCAGCCAACTCGGTCACAGCCCCACCTTGGGTAAAGTGTACACGTGGTGCCCAGGAGCAGAGCATTGCCATAAACTGATGACCCCTCCTTGGGAAACCTGGCAACCTCTAAGGGTGCTCTCTGAAAATCAAACATTGGGGTGTGCATGTAGCTCTCAGCCAACCCCCCTCCTGGCACTTTCTAAGTCAGCAATTAGCCCGGACTGGGTGCTGCCTCATCCTGGGTGCTCTTGGTCTTTCCAATATCAGCACCCCCTGGAGAGTCAGAGGAGGCAGCGCCCCTACCCCAGGACCCCACGAACCCTGGCTGAAATGCCAGCATCCCTCTGTTACCTCAGCCCAGCTGTGCCTGTCTTCATTCTCAAAGACATTGGGTTTTTTTCCTGCCTCATGACACAAATATCTCATGTCAATGTAGTGCTTTATTGTTTCACAGGTATATTCACAGGTATTAACTCATTCATTAGCAGCTCACAATGCCCCAGAAGGGGAGGCAGGGAATGAATCACTGTCCCCATTTTACTGACGAGGAAACTGAGACTCATTGACCTGCCAGATATATTCACCTTTCAGTGGCAGAGCTGAGTCCTGACCCCAATCATCTGACCACAAAACCCTCACCCCAGCGCCTGTCCGGAAGTCTTAGGTCTCCAGGATGCAGCTTCATTTCAGACCAAGAAGCCGAGAAGTTTCCCAGTTAGCAAACAAAGCCCAGGTCCTTAAATTCTTCCCTCCGGCCAAAAGCCAAAACTTTATCTGGGCATCAGTTGTTTCAGAAGTTGGTTTTCACTGATCCCTTCCCCCCAAAGTCACAGATCGTAGTCACAGGACTCTGCAGGTTTTGTTAAGCCCTCATCCTTAAAGGAACTCTCCCCTGAGACCATAAGCCACTGGGTATCACGCTGATTGCCTGAAATTCTGATTTCATTCCCCAGTGAGATGTTTTCCCTGGAACCAGAAGTCAGGGTCTCTTTGGCCACAGAGACTCTCGGTCCTACAACAGATTTCCAGAGCTGTGTGCTCCTGCCCCTCCTCAGCCAGCCCTCCTGGGCTGTTCAGCGCACATGCCTGGTGGAAAGTGTAACCAGCCCATGCCAGAAAAAAACCTATGTTTATATTAGAAAGAGTCTCCTTTTTGTCTTTCTGGTTTGATTTATGGATTTCTCTCTATTACTTCAAATCCTTTCTCACCCAGGACTCACAAGCCATGTTCCCTCTCCTCCCAGACGTGAGCACTAAGATCTACATTAATGGAGCCAGTCTGGGAGAAAGGGCTGTCAACTCCAGCAGGGTCTTCCCTGACTCACCTCACCTCACTCTGTAGTTC